AGCATATCTGGCGTAGACCAGACAGAGTCAAGCCGCTGAATGAATTGAAGCTAAGAGGCCTTACTCACTTAAAAGGAAAGCAAGCTGGAGGTCATCTGCATATGTTGCTACAAAGGTCAACCGGTACACAGAGAGAACTGATGGAACAAGATCTGAAGTCGAATATTCTCCCGATTCATCAAATTCTACAAGTAAAGGCTGAAGACTATCATGGAGTAACATTCTACACTTACAGACTTCAACGCACCGATGGGAGCGAATTTACTTGCCAAGAGAACGACTCATCATGCTGAAACCGGATGACATCTACCAAATGTTCATGGCCTACAGATACCTTCCAGTCAGGCAGAGCATAATATACAGCGAAGGCCTCGCAGCTATCAAGAGATTCATGCTTAGACAGATCCGAGTACACTCTTCACATGACCTACAGATGGCTATTGAGTGCAATCTGAAAAAGACAAATCTGACAAAGCCAAGACTGTATGGTCCAGAACTTGAAGATTTCCCAGCCTACCACATCTTCTTCACACCGCCAGCAGTCACCTATCTGAACCACAAGAACGAAAAGCGTCTGATGGTAGTCAGTGAAATTGAGAAGTACTGCGACGGAACACTGAAGATAATCAAAGAACAGATTCTAAAGATGAAGGCAGAGCTAGAAGAAAATCTTCAAGAGGCATCGTCTTATGTTCAAAAGGAACACTCTACAGTAGAGACAATTCTAAAGGCCATTGACGATCGCCTCGAAAAGAGAAATGTGCTGAGGCAATATGAGCATGCACTTGGTATGAGGAAGCACTACTTCAAATCTCAGAAGCAATAAGAGAATGACACTTGATCACAAAGGGGGAGATTGTTGGAGATATTTAATTGTGAATCAAGTTGGTCATAGATTAGCTTTATATTTAATCCTTGTATTTAATTAGTGCATGATTTAGAGAGAAATCAGGCCAAGTGTTAGGCCCATATAAACAGGCTAAAAGCCTGGTACGCCTAACCTAAACCTCGCCTATAAAAAGGGAGCCGAGGTTTAGGAATAGGTTAACGTCGTACTTATTAATCATAGCCTTACGCGCATATCATTCTGTTGCACGAGTTCACGGTTTATCAAAGAAGGTTTTACGTTGATTCATTCTGTGTTCATCCTTACGTTTAATCTTCATTGTTAGATCGTTATTCATTGCTGTTACAGAAACAGGGACTAACAAAAACATTTTACTTCTATTTAGAGCATCTATTCAATTCGTAATTTTGTTACACATGCAACGCACGGGTGAAAGACTAGTGATAATAACAATAACTAAAAGCTAAATTGCCTTAAATAGGAGTAAACAACTTTCGGAATTGCAAAATAGGACTACTATGTTTGTATTCCCTAAATTGAAATTGTTATTGTCATGATCAAAAAATATTGTCATTGATTATAATAAATATTGTCACGTTGAATGCATGGTACTATAACTGTTTGACAATCATGGCTAAAAGATGGCAGTAAATATTTTCATCTTACTCCTATTTCAGGAAAAAAAATATAACAGTCCTATTGTGGAATTGTAAACCTTATTTAGTCCTATTTTGGAAAATCTCCCTAACTAAATTTACCTAATGATACATTTTTTTATTATGTATGTCTCATATTAATACCTAACTTTTAAATTTTATGACATGTGCTTTGCTTAAAATGTCATATTGTTAAAAACATGTCAAAATTTCTAAAGAAATGTCAAATCTATTTATGTATGTCACATTTTATATTATTCGCATTGTAATCTTGGGAAATTAATAATTTTAGCGGTGAGTCATTTCATTTTTAAAGAATAAATAAATGTCACCATGGAGAAAAGAGGAGTAAACTCAAGAGAAGGCGCTGACGAGATTAAGGTTTCTATTCAAGGGGTTTTTTAGTGTTTGCGTTTCAATTTTGGTCCCTTTTTATCCAAAATATTTTATCCAAAAAATGGCTTATAGTGGAGTATTATTTTTATCATTCTTTCCCCACAATACCTGAAGGGTGTTTTACCAAAACACGTGAATTCTCAACATGTGTTGCCAAACTACGGGGAAAAAGTTAGGTTTTCCCAAAAAGCGGAAGTCGGAATCGGGTATTCCGACTAGATATAGGGTCCTCCTACAGTCGGATTTGCTACTTCCTACTAGGGTGTTTTTTTTTATTTTAATTGCTAGAAGTTTTTTTTTTAAATTGTCAAAGTGTTTGAAATAGTGTTTAATTCCTGTCGGATATGGCACTTCCGACAAGGGAGTTTTTTGTTTTTGCTAGATTTTAAATGTTTTTTTAAAATAAAGTTTTAAATTCATGTTCGGAATTGTTAATTCTGAATTTAAAAGTTTTTTTTTTAAATTCAAGTCATATTTTTAAAAAACTTTTTTAAAACTTTATAATATATACTATCCTCCGTTCCATAAAAGTTGCAACAGTTTGACTTTCACGTTTGTCAACGCACAACTTTGACTGTAATTATATTTATTAACGTATTAGTAAACATTAAAAAAAGTTAATATAATGGAAATTTACATTAATACAAATTTATTAATATTTTATACATAATATTTTTATTATATATATTATTAGAAAATCGTAGTAAAAGTAAGGTATGTGAATAGTGCAAAAATTCCAATGTTGCAACTTTTATGGAACGGAGGAAGTATCATGTATAGATATGTATTGCTATAGGACCTGAATGATGGAAAACTATCAATCTAGGACCCGAATGATGGAAAACTATCAATTTAGGGCCTATGTTTTCATTTTTTTTATTTTAAAAAATTTAAATAATATTTAGTTTTATTAAACTAATAAACTTTTGTGAAGAAAATTTCCCCAAATATTAGCAACGAGATTAATAAAAAATTAAATAAATAAAAACTTATGAAATGTTAGGTCCTAGATCGATAGTTTTTCATCTTTCGAGTCATTACTGATACATTTCATCTTTCAGGTCCCGGATTGATAACTCGTCATCTTTCAAGTCCCAGATGATAAAATTCCTTTATTGTTGTTAAGACATCCGTGTGCCAACATCTTCCTTGGCAACATCCGTGCCAAAAAGTATCCGTGGTTACTTTCGAAAATTCCACTTCCAAATGTAGCTGTTGATTTCCGAGACATACTCCGTCCCAAAAGTACCCGTTATCTATGGACATTTTGAAATTCCGTGCCAAAAACCTTGCCAAATACCTTGCCAAAAAAATTCTATATGTAGAAAACATCTTATTATGTATTCATTCTTTACATTCTTATTAATAAGTGGTGGTGAATTTCCAAGAACATGGAAAGTGGTATTATTTTCTATTTTGGATATGTTGGCAATGGTAGAGGATTGACACAAGAGTTTAAGAATGGAGTTATTGAATTTGTTAAGTTTGCACAACAACAAACATGGTACTGGATGGAAATAAGATAAGATGTTCGTGTAAGATGTGTAAAAATAACAAATTTTTGCCTGGTGAGGAGGTGTGTTGGGATTTATATACTAATGGTTTTATCGAAAACTATATCCGTGCCTATATTGAGTTTTTTTGGTAGTGATAACATATGGAAGGATGTTCTTGAGCGGTCATAGCGTAGGCATCACACAACTATTGTCCCGCACAATCGAACAACGAGAATTCACTCCGTAGCCACTATATAATTAGATAAAGTTTAATCAGATAAATATAATCAGATAAGTTCAGTCAAATAAAATTTAATCAGATAAATATAATCAGACAAATTTAATTACATAAAATGTAATCATATAAATATAATCAGATGAGTTCAATCAGATAAAATTTAATGAGATAAATATAATCAGATAAGTTCGATCAGATCACATAAATTTAATTAGATAATTCCATATTTATTCCATATCTGTACAAAATTAAACTCTAAACCACCAAAGAAACACAATAAAGGCTTGGATCCCTATCGCACGGCCGTTAACAAAAGAGGAGGGGCTTGGATCAGAATCGGAGGGCGGTAAACGGACTACTGTAGTCTAGTGAGAAGAACCAAAGCCTAGGTGACTAACGCAATACCTCCGGTCGGATTTTGAAGATCCGACAACAATAAAATTTAAAAAAAAAAATTGTTTTATGGATACTCCTAGATGAATTCGCATAGATGCTTTCTGATTGTAATTTTAAAAAATTACAATTACATTAGACGACCACATTTGTATTCCTCATCAAACAATAAAATTTTATTAGAAACCCTCTTGTCGGATTACCCAATTCCGACATGGTGTTTATTTATTTACCTAGCTTCTCCTCTTGTCGGAACGGGCGAATCCGACTCCCGTGTTTTGGTAACCTAGTTGCAACTCCCGCTTTTTGGATTATCAGACACGAAAACCCCGTATTTTGGTAATTTCCTCATACCTGAATACCATGACTACATGAGGTCATGATGGTATGAAATATGTGTGTTAATAGCCCCAAATTTGAGTTTTTAAGGTATTTCTCCCTAATGAATGCGAAGGAAAAATGAAAACGGAACCTGTAAATTTACTTTCTGGAAAAAATTATTCACAACAAAAAAACTATTATTTTATTTTGCGATCGTTTAAGATAAATTAATCGATTTGAGGAAGTAGCAACATAGTATCTATCATTTGAGAAAAGAAAAAAATCCACTTTTGGTCCCATGACTAGTATACCACTTCTACATTTAGTTCCTTACTTTCAGATTGTCCACATTTAGTCCGTAACCATTATCCCCTCACCACCCTCGTCCTTCGGGCTAAAATTCTAACAAATTTAGTCCACTTATCAGCCTCAGAATCAGTCTTTGCATTAAATTTTATATAAGGTTGGGTTTTTCATATCAGTCTTTGCATTAAATTTGGTTTTTCATACCTACAATCTGCATTAAATTTACCGGAATTTTGGCCGGAAGGACAAGAGGTGGTGAGGGGGTCACGGATTAAATGTGGACAATCCAAAAGTAAGAAACTAAATGTGGAAGTGGTATAATAGTCACAGGACCAAAAGACAACAACTTATGAGATTGTTAGCACGTACCGTTTATTAGTAATGTTTAGTGTACATTGGCATTTTACATGTCAATGTAAAGAAAAATCGCATAAGCAAAAAGAAATTGCCGTGTACAAATGATGTGTACAAATAGCATTAGTGCACCCTTGATAGTGTATCAAAAGGTATCTTGCTTTCTATCTTCCTACCCGACCAAACTTTTGTGTGTTTCACACTCTGCCGGATGTTTTCCGGTACTGGAGAGGAGCATTTTCCACATAAAAATGGACATATTTCCATGATACATGTTAGAAATGGACATATTCCAAGAACCAATATATATTCCTAGATGTCTAAGCTTGGGAAGGCATCCCTCTCCAGCATGCTTCCTTCGGCACCTCGCTTTCAGCAGATATAAATCACAGTAGGCCCTGATTGCCATGAGATTCGAACTTGGGATCACCTAGTGCACATGAATATGAGCTCCATTGAAACGGGGTGGCCTTCTTTGAGAACGGGTCTAGAAGTAATCTTTATCTCCAATGAACATCAAGGTGGGAAGGAATGAATCATTCCGTCATACCCTTAACACACGAGCCTTGCACCAATTGAAAATTCTAAGCATTTTATCTTCAACCAGTTCCTTCATACTTCGCCTCTTGTGTCTTGCTTCTTCAATATCTAGAGTTCTATAGGCAAGTGCAAACAAATACATTGCTGGGTGAAGTTTCCTGCACACAGATTCATCATAGATCATAAAGTGAAACATGTGATGCCATATTAGAATCATGGACTTGCAAAGATTTGTAGACATGAAATCAATTTTTTTATCACATAAAGTAGATTGTGGAGTTCCAAAAGACCCTAAAATGGATAGGAGGTGATGGGAGAAAAGAAGAGGATTTTAACTTTATAATTCTGTAGAAGTGTAGAACTCAGCACATAATCAATCAACTATGGAATATCTACTTCCATCATATAATCAGTCCATGGATCCATGCAAATAAGATAAGGATTATACAAGAGATGCTTACTTGTCAGAATGATCATTTACATCTAAACCATCCCAATACCTCTGGGATGGGACAGTCCGACCTTTCTTATCCTGACCAAATGTCTCCACGTACCAACCTCCAATATCGTGCATGCCACAGCGAGGTTCAAACAACCAAAATCTGATGCAGAAAGAAGTTGCAATTGTGACATCATAGGTAAACTTCAAAAGTGAAAAGGTGTATAGTAAATAATTGCATAAAGTATCAACAAATTTTCAGAAATGGAACATTTTCTAAATTCAGATGTTGTGTTACGAATTCAATAGTAATTACTACTAGTAGATATCGGTAATGAGTGGTACGGTGGTACTGATGTTACTTGACTTCTATCTTTATCCCATCCTCCAAGGATTTAGTTAGTGACTCGCATTAAACACAACGCAAAAAAAGATGCATGCTTAAATGTCAACCGCCATTTTAGCTTTGGGAAAACTGTCGAATAGATACACATACTTATACTAAAAAGTCAATTGAGTCTACATACTTTTTATCGAATCAATTAGGTCCACAAAGTCTCAAAAAACAACCAAATTAGCTATTTAACGGGTAACCAACCGGTTATCCAGTCAACTGCCTACATGGATGTCCTAGCTGACATTTTTTATTTCTATTTTTTTTAATTTTCCTTTTCTTTCTCCACCCTCCCTTTTTCTCTTTCTTCTTCCTTCCTTCTTCCTTGTCCGATCCTTTCCCTGTCCCCTGCTCTCGTCCGCTTCTTTCTTTCATGCTTGCACTAAACCTTCTACCACTTTCTTCCAATTACACCTATTTTCCGCTTGCGCCTCCTCCCATTGGAAGGACCACCGCCGTGCGGCCTCCATTGCCACCACTCATTTCCGGTAGCCGTACAAATTTCCCCCCTTCAAGTTAAGGCCGTTTTGCTCCTGGACTTGATTGAATTTCAGCGAGTAGCCTGACGATCGTGTTGATGAATATTGAACAGTATGTCACTACATCAGTACCTATTTTCCCATGAGCCTCGGCGCGTCTGGTCCAAGCTTCGTCGCGGCAGAATTGATGGCGTAGAGTGAATGGGAAAAGAAATCGATAGTGGCGACTTCTTTGTCCAGAGCAATAGAGCATCTAACATCTTCCAGTAGCTACTGTGGAACTCCGGCATCAGCTTCTCACGGTGGTGGGAGAGGAGAAAAAGGGTGATGACGGGTTCTATGGGGGCGGTGGATATGGATGTAAGGGTTGCGGGTATTGAGGTAAGGGCGGTGAAAGTGGAAAGGTCGCAGGGTTGGCGGGGGAGGCTTCAACTAAGCAAAGAAAACGAGATTCACTCTCTAGTAGGGAGAAAGGAACGTAAAAGGAAAAGAAAAAAAGAAGAAAGGAAGAAACGTGAAAAAGGAAAAGAAAAACTATAAAATAGGAAACAGTAAAAAAAATCCAAGTGGACATCCACGTAGGTATGCAACCGGGTTACCGGCTGATAACTGGTTAAAAAGCTAATTTGACTATTTTTTAACTCTGTGGACCAAATTGATTCATTTTAAAATACATGAACCTAATTGACTTTTTATAAAAGTAGACTCATTTGACAGCTTTCCCTTTAGCTTTTTATTATAAGAATATGACTAATTCATAAAAAAACTGCTCTCATAAACCAGCAGATCGAACCACGTACTACTTTACCACCATGGTGCAAATCACACTACTTGGAGAGATACGTAAACAACTACAATGTGATCAGTTCACGATTTTGATGGAAAATTTTGTAGTTTTACTTGCTGGGAGGCAAGCGGGCTCTACTGCATCTGCATTCACAAACCGAAACTTCATCCCCTGTTTGGTACCAGTGCATGTGTTTCACCTGGAAAAAAAATTACCCAGGCATCAAAGTTTTGAAGTAGTTTTTCCATCATTTGCAATGGAGCCAAAGATTCATTATTTTTTGGTTTGAGATTATGATGGAATAAAGCAAAATGGCTCACTAAACTGTCTGCGCTTCTTTGTTATGAAACAACAGTCAGTCCATGCAATTTTGGACGCGATTTTCACTTTGGGTCATCCGGAAACAGTCTCTCTGTGCTTTAGTACATGGGTAAGACTGCATACATCTGACCCCCCTTATCCCACCGTAGGTGGGAGCCTTTGCGGCACTGGGAAAAATGAAAATGAAAATGATCAAAGTTTTGAAGAAGGGACCATGAGCCAAATTGAGAAGCCACTGGTATGTTATAATCTACCGCTTCTACAAATGTGTTGGAATGGTCTGATTGATGCCCAAAATGATCCCAAACACCCCCAAACGGGCTGCCACAAACTAGAGTGGATGGGCACCCTAAAAACCACCATTGAAGTCCCTAATAAAATCGACTAGATGACCGATGAGGTGTGGTATTATGCTGGATTTAGGTGTAACTTACCCCAAAATGATCGAGGTGTGGCAACATGCTAAGACTTAAATCCAGTAGATAAGATAGCCTAGGGACGCTCAAACAAATCAAATAAAACTAGAAATCATAATTTAACTTACCAACAGTGTCCTATGTTTCATAATCACATGAGTTTGCACACCATTATGATCATAGACATCGCATGACCCTTCCTCAGGGCTTGTCCCCATTCCATTTACTGTTCCTAACAAAATCCTGGATCCCTCTGGACCATCTGCACTAATATCATTACGCAGCCATAGGTCACAAGTTTCGTGTTCGTGGGAAGTGAGGTAAACATGAATGAGATCGTCAGCATCCTTGTTTTGTGCCTGATTAGTACTACTCTTCGGCGGAACCCGAGTGGCAATAGCAACAACCTTCCCAAATATATGCAACTCTAAATCCTTATATACATCTGATTCATAGTAGCCAACACATCTATCTTTTTGTTGACACTTTCCACTTGCAGTTAGAGTTAAATTTATTTCTGTGCTGACAATATTAAGAGAGCAGATAGGAATCAAAAGATCATCTTCAAAAGATGTTAACTTTTTTGTGTTGGCAACACGTACCATCCCAAAGAGGTCACGTCCTGAGACTAAGTGGAGAATGTCTGATGTAAAAGGCATGGACCTCTCTTCAGCTTCAAAGCATTCCGGAAGCAGATGCATTGATTCAATTTCAGGGCCATAAAATGCTGCATGTATAGCTGAGTGGAAATCCCTTTCCAATACATCAAAATAGCTTGAGCCAGCCACCTCTCTTTTCTGTGACACTATATCATTTATCGCATGTCTATACCACCTCAACCATTCAACAACTTCCATTTCTCTCTCTATGAGTCTATCAGATTCATACTTATACATAACTGGGCCTTGCCGTGCCTGCTTCTGAACAACTGTTCTCTGAGAGACGAGATACTGATCATAATGTTTCCTTTTCTCAGAGTCAGATAGTATCTGCACTCCATTTCATGATGGTGTCAATATTCCACGTTTTCAGAATAATAAACATTTCCCCAATGTTATAGCCTTTTTTAATTTTTGTTAAATAAGTGAATGCTGGAAATAGTAAGAACACAGCTTACTACCCTCGACGTACTAATGTAATCTCACCCTCCAACACGCCAACTTGTATAATAATACACTCTCAGTCCAAACAAAAGTATCTAACTTTTTTGTAAGAGTTTCAAACAAGTTAAATATGATAAACTTAGCGAAGTGATTAAACTAAAAAGAGGTCAGAAAACTTATATACGGAGTAATAGTTGTTCCTTGAAAAAATTAAATAGTTACTGCATACTTTGTCTTTTTTCTTTTCTTTATACCAATTTATCAAAGAGCTTAAAATTTGTACCTTGTCAACAGGCACTCATTCTTTGGGATATATGTTCTTGTTTTCTATGCTTGTTGGTGAAAATTGTACGTAGTATAATATTGTTATATGTCAAGAAAATGCACGATTTAACTTAAACATACAGTGATCAACATTATCAGAACAATTAAAGTTGATTGGAATTCGAGGCATTTTCTAGAATATTACTGAAATAAAAATTAGACAAAAAGTGAATAAAGTTACTATATATTCAACTTGATAGTCACCACAGTGTAAACTTAAACATAATCAAAGTCGGTTAAAAATTACTAACATAGTGACTATGTATAAGAAGTCACATTTTCCTATCATCTTTATTTTAATCACCTGATTATTTCATTGGAAAACAAGTGAGGCGCTATACCTCAAATGACAAAGCAATCAATGCAGGATTCAAAGAAATTACCCAAAGCTGTGAAAATGTTCATCCAACTCAGAAAATTACCAACGAAACACACAGTTTTATTATATTCTGTAAGGCTCAAACTGAGAATCTGCCACAAATTCCAGTATAAAATATGATTTGTTTCAATGTAATTCAGAGAGGAGATGTACGAGAAGTCACCTTACCTCATAAGCAGCGAGAATTTCGACGAATCGTTTGGAAGCGGCTGAATCGGGTTGTGACTGAGCAAGGTCAGGATGCGTCTCCTTGGCCAATTTACGGAAGGAAGATTTGATTGCTGAGAAAGAGCTGGTCTCAGAGACGCCTAAGATCTCATATGCGTTAGGTCCGGTGAACTCCGAATGGGCGTTGGAACCGAGTCTTCGTTTTATGGTACATGTCAGGTAATCTGTACCAGCTGGGCTAAGGATTACTGGACGGAAATAACGGTTGATGCGATGGACTGCCGTATATCTGGTGAATAACGCCATGTCTAGTGATCGCAAGAACTCTCCGAAGTACACATACGGATTGATATGCAGTGATCCCTTCTTCTCGTTTATCACTACTTTCATATTTTTAGGAGGACGGATGTTTTCTTGACTATTTTCCACCATACTATTTTGTTGACTTAAATGAGACCAAATCAAACTAAACATTTATAGATTTGATCAGTTCAAACTAGATCAGACTAGACTAAACTTAAACAGATCATATCAGACTAGATTAAACTTAAACAAATCAGATTAGACGAAATCACATCAAACCAAACAAGATCAACAAATTTCGGTCCAAAAGAAAACATACTACATTATATTAAATTCCCTAAATAAGATTAGTTATGTTTTGGACAAATATACTCCTATTGTTTTTTGGACAAAAATAAATATGTCCTAAAATTATTAAAAATAAAAAATTAGAAAAATAAAAATTACAAATTAAAAAACAAAACTTAAAAAGTTAAAATAAAAAATTAAAAACGTAAAAAAATATATACCAAATTTGTATCGCCCCTCTCAGGGTTAAAGAAAACGTTACACTAACTTACTACTGGTCTTTTATTTAAGAAACTAACCCTGATAAAATCTCAAAGTAACTAAAGTAACTCCAAATAAAACTTAATAAAATGTAGTTGTCACCAGCAAATGTGATAACCACCTGGATCCAGAAATTTAATCAAACTTCAAATCCTCAAATAAAATAAAGATGCATTAATCACTTTATTATAACAACTCAAATACTTAAATAAAATAAGAACAAGCCAGAAGCCGCCAAGGTCGTTCCCGTTAACTCATTTTGGCACACATTCCGCTATGTCGTCATCTTCTTAGGCCTTGACCTTACCCTTAGTATCTATACATTCGAAGAAAGAAAACTTACAAGTTTTACGCTTAGTAAGTCACTGTGGATCCACAAAAAAATACCTGAGAAGTCTATGCTAATTTATCAATAGATAAATTTAGGCTATAAGCATGCACTGAACGAATAAATAACAGATAACTTCTCAAATAAATTCTAAGAGAGATCTCAAAACTAAACATTTTCTGAAATAATTTCTCAAAGCTGTTGGAGAGATCTCAAAATTTCTCCCTTAAAAGTTAAAACATTTCATGTAAACCTTTCTCAAAGAGGTCTCAAAACAACTTTCTCAAAGAGATCTCAAAAACAACTTTCTATAAAACTTTCTGAAAGAGATCTCATAAACTTTCTGTAAAATTCTTTGCGGCTAATTTTAACTGTGGGCTCGTGATATGTATACAATGGCGCTAATTCGACAGCTCAGGGGAGCGACCCACTAAACATATCAGACTCTCTGGAACTGGTTACTGATAATTGTGGGAACTTGTTCCCGAGTACATATCACATAATCTCTCACTTTAAATATTAGTTCTTTTTTATGGTGACGTTTGGTTAAAAACATCATTAAAATTTTAAAATAAAAATACTGACAAAATCTTGAATATGCCAAATTATAAATATAACTTTATACCACACATAAAATCACACATCAAATAATTCACCAAACTCACATAATAGCAAATAGTCTAAAGTTATTTATTAAAAATCAACTAGACTTCTCTCTTTTATTTGGTTGAACAAACATGTACAGGTGGTAGTGAACTTACCTGTTTGAAGTTGAACTCAAATTACTCAACTAAGTGTGGCACCTTGATAACGTCTCCCGGTAAGCTCTTCTTAAAATTCTTTAATTAAATATAATAATATAATAAGTAAAACAAAATATAAAATCTTTTTCCGCCGCATCTAGCCCTCTACCACCCTCAGCACCACTAACTACGATCATCGAAAAAAATGCCAACATGCATTAACAATGTCATATTCATGACATTTTCAATGAAAATTTTAACATTATCAAAAAGTAATAATGCTCTTTTCTTGGCATTTCTACATAGAATGACATTTTTTTTCTTCGATCGGAGGTGGTGGTGATGGGAGGCGGAAGAAGCGATGGGAAAGGCATCACTAGTACAAAAAGTGTCTACTGTAGCATCCATTTTATAACATCATAGAAAATGTTACAATATAGTATTTATTGTAACATTATTTTATCAAAAAATGCTACAATAAAATAGTATCAACAATACATCTATTGTGACACCACTCAAATGCAGCGTGCTAAAAATGCTGGATTTGATATATTGTGACATTTTTGACACCTATTGTAACATTTTGCACATGTTATAAAAGCTATACTTTTTTGAAGTGTGTCCATATTTTTTATTTTTTTTATGTATTTTACTTTTTTTATTAATTTTTATTCTTTTTTCCAAAAAAATAAATAAGTTGTATTATTTTATAGCAATTTTTATTATTTTTTATGATTTTATTATGAATTCCAACATTTTATTATGAATTAAACATTATGAATAAATACCCTTAGAAGTATTAAGGGTAGAAAACTATTGTTCAGTCTCATTTGTGAAAGATTTAAGTCTTAGTCTTATTTGTACAATTATATTTCCATTTACTACTATTTAGAGCAATTATTAAAAACTCATCCATGAAGAACATTTCTCAAGCTAAACACAATTTTTGAGTAAACTTTGTCGAAACAGTATTAATATCAAGATTAACATGTGATATATGCATGTCCTAGATTCAACAAATCGTGCATTCCTCTAATACATGACACAATTAAATCAATAAATTGTAAAAGTACTGCATTGGTCTCACTAACATTAGAACATGATAAGGTAGCACAACTATTAAAAAAAGTGAGTGTGTAATTGATATTGAATTGATAAAATAAGAATAAAGGAAAAAATAATATAGAGACACAAACTTTACTAAATTTGCTATGAAACAATCTTAGTGGAATTTTTCGAAAGAAAAAAATGAGACAATCTTATCAAGACGAATGAAGTACTAAATAAACTAGCATTTCACATGTGCGTTGCACGAGATGCAATTTTCGAATTATAAATGAGCTATATTTATGGGACCAATATTTGAATCGAGTACTATATTCAATTATTCATGTCTTAAAAACATCCATCTATCAGATTAATTTATATCCATACGGGGAGACATTGACATTATCTCCACAATTTTATTCGCTAGAAAATCAAATACATGTTGAATTTTCAAATTCAAGTACATCCGGGTGCGGTGTCACAAGTTCACCCCCCCCCCCCCCCCCCCCTTTAACGGAAATTTCGTCCCTGAAATTCACAAATGCTTATTCAAACAGAAATGCATGTTGTTCCTTCATCAAGGCTTCCGTTTCCCAAGTTTCTTCCTCAACTCGGTCATTTTTCCAAAAGATCTTAACCATTGGAACTTTCTTGCTCCTCAGCTTCTTTACTTGCCTATCAAGTATTTTTACCGGTTGCACGACATAATTCAAGTCTTCCCGTATTTCCATGGGTGGTTTCTCTAGTACATGAGACGGATCTGGCATATACTTCTTAAGCATAGACACGTGGAACACGTTATGTATCTTTTCCAATTCCGGAGTCAATTGCAATCGGTATCCTATGGCCCCAATTCTCTCAAGAATTTCAAATGGCCTAATGTATCGTGGGTTAAGCTTCCCTCGGCTCTAAAATCAGATGATTCCCTTCCAAGGAGAAACTTTCAAGAATACCTCATCTCTCACCTTAAATTCCAAGGCTCTCCGGCGCTTATCGACATAGCTCTTCTGTCTATCCTGGGCCGTCTTAAGCCTTTTCCGAATCATCTTCACCTTTGACTTGGTGATCTCCACCAATTCTGTGCTCTCAAATTTGGTCATGCCAACCTCATCCTGATGACTGTGTACGACATGCATCTCCTCCCATACAATGCCTCGTATGGAGGCATGACTATACTCGCCTGATGACTGTTGTTATAGGCAAACTCCACAAGTGCCAAATGGTTGTCCCAGCTTCCTTGGAACTCCAATGCACAAGCTCTTAACATATCCTTTAATATCTGTATAACTCTCTCAAATTGTCCACCCGTCTGTGGATGAAAAGCAGTGCTAAACTTCAATCTGGTTCCCATAGATTCTTGGAACTTCGGCCAAAATCGTGATGTAAATCGTGGATGTTTATCGGATACAATGGTTATTGGAACCCCGTGTAGCCTCACGATCTCATCCACATACAATTTGGCTAATCTCTCCAGCGTATAGGTGGTGTTGATAGGTAGAAAATGTGCACTCTTCGTGAGCCTATCAACCACGACCCATACATCATCATAGTTTTTAACTGTCCGTGGTAACCCTACCATAAAATCCATAATCACCAGCTGGATGTTGATGTTCTACCTTAACTTGCTGACAAGTAAGACATCTACTGATGTACTTGGCTATTTCCCTCTTCATACCAGACCACCAGTAACTTTCTTTCAAATCATGGTACATTTTCGTACCCCCCGGGTGCATGGCATACGCCGATGAATGCGCCTCCTCTAAGATGGACTTTCGGAGCTAATCATCTGACGGTACACACACTCGATCACGAAAAAATAAGAGATCATCGTCTCTTTCCCTGAAATCCTCAACCGGTCCCGCTAGCATGCATTCACGGACCTTCATAAGCTCTCCGTCAGTTTCTTGACCTTTCTTGATCTCATCAAGTAATGTAGGTCTCACCTTGAATCTGGCTAACAAGGCACCATCGCTGGATACCTCCAATTGGGCTCTCAATGCCCTCAAACAAGTCAACAATGCCCCAGACGAACTCTTTGATCGGCTCAAGGCATACGATACCACGTTGGCTTTACTGGGATGGTACTCAATAACTAGATTGTAGTCTTTTATCAACTCCATCCACCATCTCTGTCTCATGTTTAACTCCTTCAAGCTTTTGTGGTCAATGTATATGTGACATGTCTCCCCGTAGAGATAATGTCTCCAAATCTTCAGTGCAAATACCACTACCCCCAACTCTAGATCATGAATAGGATAATTTACCTCATGTTTCTTCAACTGTTGTGAAGCATAGGCAATCATCCTCCCATTCTGCATCAACACACATCCAAGCCCTTGGATGCTCGCATCGTTATAGACATCGTACCCCATACCCTGTTTGGGTAATGCGAGTACCGGTGCCTCAGTCAATCTCTTCTTTAGTT